AAAAAAATAATGCATTAAAAATTCTTCCTCAAAACTACGAGTTCACTAAAACTCCAATTCAGTGCACAAATTTTTGACGTCCTTTTCACCTGAACATTAACCATAACTAACACTAAATTTTTCATAGTTTTAAAATGCAGTACAAAAAATTCCACGTTTTCCATACTTTTTAAACAATACTAAAACAAAAATCTTTTTCAAACTTCCTTATTTTGACGCATCGCTCAATACCAAACCAAACCAGCAAGGAAAAAAGGTATTCCGCTGGTAAGAATAAATCATATTACCGGTCGGTTACAAATGTGATATAGAACACTCTGAGTCACCACGATAAAAAAACAATCCAAAAAAAAAAGAATTTGTTTAAAAATAATTTTTTTTTTTGCTGGTATTTCCCTGATAAAATATTCAGTAAAAAAAACGATAAATAAATTGGAGAATCTACCAGCTACTGATCCGACTCCAACAGCATATCCGCGTAGCTGTGCCTTCGCCTCAGCCAATTCATCAGACTGCCGATTTAATTTATTTTGTAAGCTCTAAACAGAAAATCTTTTGTTGCTGTTCCAGTTGTTGGAAATACAACAAAAGCCGTGAAGAAGTGGAACATTGAAGAAAAAACGGTGGTAAACAAAAAAAAAAACTGTTTTAGAAGGTATAAATACTCTATTCAAAGTACTTGTTCAACTAAAAAACCTCAGTTTTTAAACTTTTTTTTCTCCACCCAACAATCTTTTGAAGTTCTGAAACACCGTACAAGAAAAAAAAAGCAGTTTTGTTTACATTTCAAAAAAATAATTGTTATTATTAGACTGAAATTTTAATAATAGTAATTTTTTAGAGAGAAAAGAAATAGATAGTTCCAGAATTAAGTCAGTATTCTAAAAAAAACCTATTTATTTACGTATTCTGTAATTCTTAAGAAGATATCCAACTGGTAAAGAAACCTCTTATCACAAAAAAATAACCCTACCGTCAAAGCTCAAAAAAAGAAAAATAATAATAATAAAAAAGTTGACTGTTCAAAGTTAAAAAAGTAGTGTTTTCTCTATATAACTGCAATGCAAATTAATGCTCAAACCAAAATAATTATGGAAAGATGAAACTAAAACAACAAACCAAATTTTCTGAGACCAATTGATTAAGCTGTACGTTAATATTTGTAAGATTTTCCTCCACAGAACGACTTTCATCAATTGAATATTTCTGAAACAAAAAGTTACCTGTACAAATGCTTAAAACTTGAAAAGAATATAACTGCTAAATATGTAACATGTACTATATAAATATATAAGTATGTAAATGTTTAGGTATATAAATATATAAGAATATAAATATATAAATATGTTAATACATATGTAAATGTTAAAGGATCTTTAAAAGTAAGTAAAGAAACAAAAGTTGATAAAAAATAATGAAAAAATGCATCTTTTTTTTTAGCTTCATAAAACCACAACCTCATCTCTTTGAAAGCTCTTGAAATTACAAATCTGGTACTTTTGAAAACATTAAGAAAAAGTGGCAAAAAAAAAAAGAAAGCAGAACTTAAGGCAAAAAAACTTAAATATATAGTCCGTACCACAAAAGGATTAAAATTTTGGCTAATAATATATACAACACCGTAATACTGCAATCCTCAAAAAAAGCACAGAAAAGAAAAGCTTAGAATAGACTTAAACTGAAATGAACCTCTCAGAAACAAAATATATATCAGCTTAAAAAAGCTAAAAACAAAAAAACACAAACAAAGAGGACAAGAGAATTATTCAGCTCAAATCTTTCAAACGAATAAAACTTCATAAAATTTTTTAATATTGAAATTGATCAAACTTTAAACAGAATTTTTATTTCTGAGCACTCGCCTCTTCCTGTTTTCCCCTTCCTTTTCTCCATCTTCTTTTCGTACGACGGCAGACCGATAAATAGAAGAGCGAAGAAAGTAAAGAGAGAAGAAAAAAAAAGACGAAAGAGGCTAGCAAGCTTAAGATTCAAAAAAAAGAAAACAGCTGCCTAAAAATCCATCTTTTGTACTACTTTTAAAAAATAGGAAATGAAAAACACAGATGAAGTTTATTATGAGAAAAGAGAAAAAAAGCAGTGATGAAAGAAAAAACAAGTCCTTTTGAACTGCTACCTTTATATTTATTAATTTATTTTTCACAGATTTCTAAAAATTGTTGCTTATGTTTCCGAATTCATTAAAAACGCCTTCCATAGCATCTAAAATGCAAAGAAAAAGCCAGATAAAAAAAAAAAACAGATGTCAACAGTCGTAAAAAAAAAGTGGTAGGAAGGAAAAGACGTGAAAAAAAAAGGAAACAAGATGATTTATCACTGCTATCTCAACTATTCAGGTAATGCAAAAACAGAAACAAAATAAAAAAAAAAACAAAACGACAGAGCACAACAAAGTTTGTTAGGTGTTAAAAGTTGGTTGTAAGTTTTAACAACCTAAAATAGTAAAAAAAGTTTTAAAAAAAAATAACAAATAAATAAAACCGGTTTTGAAAGGTTCAATTTGATTGTTACATTGTTGTTACTCTTCTTTTCTTTTATCTCTTTCCACTCCTATATTTAAATTCTCGCCAGTAATTTGAAAGATATGTTCAGCAGTAAAACAAGAAAAAAAAAACAGAAGAACTCATAAAATATATAATTAACTATAATTAGATACACTGTTTCCCAGCTTCATCCTCCTTCTTAGCCTTATTCTACCCATCTCTATCAGCTCAATTTCCAACCATATCAGTTCAAATAGTCTCCAAACACTTATTATTAAAAATTTGATAGAAGAATCCGCTCAATAATACTTTTGTACGCATATGTCGACAATAATTACCGTATATCTGCTTAATAAAAAACAAAAAATCTTAAAAAATTTTTTAGCAACTATGTTTTCTTAATGCTAAATAAAATGAACAACTCTGATACTTCGTGCAAATTCGGCTATCAGTTGATACTGCAAAATAAAACTCACACAAAC